AAAACCTTCGTATTGCTTGCTCCGGACCAACGTATACAAATGTTCTTCACCATCTACAAAACGTAGTTAAAACATACAATCCTGACTCAGTTGATAGTAATCTATTACATGAAATCACCAAGTCCATTTATCAGTTTCTATGGAAGTCCACAGAATGTTGTTGTCGCAGTCCAAATGACGAATGCAGCGATATTTGTAATTGTATCGATATTGGCACTCGCCTAAAGAGTGTTCCATGCATATTTTTACAAGAAGATAAAACGTTCGTAAAAGCAGACCAACTGGTGTTCAAACTTTCTGAAAACAGCCCTTTGAAACCGTTCCTTTATCCTGTACCCCGGGAATTCGGAGAGTTGGAGCATTTTCTCAAACGACTTGGTGCAACTGAGAAGCCAACACCGTTACAGATTGCTTATGTTCTCAATTCTATACACAATGAAGTCGGAGAAGGGGCACTATCTACTGAAGTGGAGGAGAACGTCAAGTATGCTATGCATATGCTATTTGAATTACTTTCCAAGGGCGGAAGTGCTGCTGGAATAAATGAATTGTATTTACCAAATGAAAGTAAGCAGCTTGTAAAATCCAGCGATATGGTTTGCAAAGTTTCGTCACGTTTTACGGAAGTGATTGAAAACCTCCAACGTCCGATCCTTTTACGATTCGAAGAGTGCGGACTTAACAAGATCGCTGATGATTACATCGACGCTTTACCGAAGAGTTTACGTCCTACGAAATTTGACGAAATATTCCGGGAAGAGGTCAATCCCGAGTGCAATGTTTGTATCTGTCCAGAGGCTCAACATGGTTCCACATGCAAATTCCAACAACAATTTGAGGATCTGTTGCGATCTGATCAGTTTCAAGTGGGGCTTAAACGCTTACTTATGGAAAATCGCCAAGATCCTCAAGAATTTGAGCAAAGAATGAAGAAACTGCAGACGGATGTTAAAACGAAGTGCACGGGATTTGAAAACATAAAGATCCATATTATCGATCGTAATACCGATGAAGTTGTAGATAAATTGGAAGACAGTTGTTATGCAGTACAGGGTGAAGGCACATGGTCATTGTACATGCAACACGACTTTAAAGATGACAAAAATTCAGTTTCAACCGGTACTTGTGTTAACAAGATTCTAGGGGATTGCATACAAAAAGAAAAGGGGATGATTGCAATGTTAGGCTGTTCTTCTCCAAGTGAAATCACAAGAGCGTTGGATAAGCTTGGTATTACTCGGAGTACTTTCAAAGCTGATAATGATTTCACTGATTTTGATGATGAACAAGTTCCTGGATTGGGTCATCATGGTGGTGGTGGTGGTGGTGGTGGTGTTGGACCTCCAAGGTAGCATATATATTTAATTATTTTGGATGTCATAAACGATGTAGAATGTGTGATATAATTTCGCTCTTGTACTAGTTAAAGAGAACAATGGAAGTTTTATATATTTATTAGCCCTAACCAGGAACAGTTGCGAAAAATGCAACCATAGGCCCTCTGGCAGGAATCGACAGAGTTGCAGACTCGAGTCGTGTGACTTTATAACAAACGTACTTGCAGGGAGGTGAGTCCGGGATTGGACGCACCGAGGGTGGCTGGAAGTTTCCCGAACTTACCGAGCGAAGCGAGGTGAGTTCGGGAAACTTCCAGCCACCCGAGGTGCGTCCAATCCCGGACTCACCGAACCTGCAAGTACGTTTGGTTTTTATCCCATACACCGAGCCATACACACATTTGTAGTTCTTCGCGATATATTCGTCGATGTTTTGTGAACATTTTCCCGGCCAAAAAAATCACTGGGCAAGAAAATACTTCTTTATCTACGTCTACATTACCTTTACTGCATTTTTCTTTGGTTTTTCTTCAGTCTCAGCATGTTAGTCACCGAAAAAAGTTCTTTAAAGTTTAGGTTTATCGGCTAAATCTTGTCCGCCATATTTGTTATTGTTATTGCAACGTAAGCAGTTTAGCAGGTGAGTTCGGGCGAAAAGCAGGTGAGCTCGGCAAAAAGCAGGTGAGCTCGACGACAAGCTCACCTGCTCTAAACCAATCAGAAAGCCGCTTTTAACACAGGTATGGGATAAGGACTCGAGTCGCAATTTTTGTGACTTGTGACTTGACTTGTTAAAGAGACTGATGACTTGTGACTTGACTTGGACAAAATGACTTGTGACTTGACTTGGACTTGCAAGAAATGACTTGTTACCAACGCAAGTCAAATGTAAATATCTAGTGAAAATCAAGTTTTCCAAAATCTTTGTGTTGATCGATCGATCGTCGTGTTGTACAATTTGGGCAACGACCTTAGTACATATCAATGGCATCGACAGAATTTGTGCCGGCGTATTTTCTGACAAAGCGGGTTTTTTCGCGATTTCGTGGTAAAATTTCTGACATAAAATAACGACGCCATATTTACATATTTTGCCGTTTTGCGT